GTTTTTTTCAGACACAGCTGATAAGGCTAATTACGTGGTGAGAGCTTAGTCATCCATATCACGGTGACAGAAAGGCAGATTCTCTTCAAATAACGTCAGCACCACAAAACTCTCCAGATCAACACGAAGATGCCGCTGCCGGGAAGGCGAGGGCGCCAGGGCGCGCCGCCAGAGGGCGCCCCTTTTTCTGCAAGATCCCATTTCCATCCCGCTCCGGGCGCGCACATGGGGCGGCCCCAAAGCAGCGCCCAGCGCAGGGTACGCGCATCTCCGTGTTTGGTTAATGTGAACACAAACAGGCATGGCCTCCCCTCACATTTCCATCAAAACACTAACCAGATGAGGGAAACGCACGATTCCCTGTGTTTTGCCTCGTCAGAAATTAGCACTCTAAGCCCAGCAGGGTACAAAGGTCATTCTGATCAGCCCCTAATAAGTTCAGTACATTAACGGGATGCTGTTGCATCTGGGAGTTCTCCATGGAGCAGCTGATCTCGAGAAATCCCTCTGCGCTGAAAATCTACAACCCAAATGTAATGACCACCTCAAAAAGTACTGGATCAACAGAGTGCCCCTTTTAAATACAGGCAAAGATTTTTCCTTAGGAATGAAGGAACCCCAGATCTTATGTTTCATACCACATATGTGGGTTTGCCCCACTTTGTAAGTGCCAGCAGCTGAAATACCCTCAAACATGGGGTTCCAGTACCCCTTTCCATGAGCCTGATCAAGTAAGTCCCAGTTGGCTGCCAGACCTGTTCTCTAGTTAGGTAACACTTCTCTAAATGGCTCAAGCACATACACCTGTGTTTAGAGCCTAATTATACAGCTTAAAAGGACTAAAAGAGTTTTAAAAATTGCTCTGATTCCTTTCAGCTGGRATGCCAGGGAAGGATCCACATGAGATGTGTGATTAGGGCAGCCTGGCAAAGTCCCGCTGGCTTTTTTCTGCACCTTCCTCTTCTGTGGCTGCATTGCACCATGCCAACGAGCTCACCCTAGCAGCGAGCCACATCTAGGGAGGATTAATCTCGGGAATAAACAAACCAAAGCAGAACTCCAGACCAAACAGGGAGCAAGGACAAGCAAATCCACATCAAATGACAACCCTCAGGACTTCTCCAGTCCATGAGAGAGCTACCTCTGCTTGAGACACTGGGCAGCAGCACCTATCCAACATCAGTAACCCCAGTCCCTTCAAGTCAGAGAAAGCTGGATATTCCCCCCACAGTGCAGTATTTCATGGTGTAGGCTCACTCTCTTCTATCACAAATCCCACTGTGAGCCTCAGATGAGCAGTTCCTTAACACAGGCACTAAGAAGCACCCCTAGAGCAGGGCGTATCCCCCTCAGTCACCTGAGCAGAGGGCCTGCAATGGGGTGATGGTGTTTGGGCAGCAAGAACGTGAGACAGTAGAAACAGAGGCTTGCTACCTCCAGAACACTCGAGARGAAACAGAAAAACTGGGAGTTCTCAAACTGGTTTCCCAGATTTTGTAGCAATCAGAGAAAGGGGTGTGGGTCATCCAAACAGAGAGTGGGAGCACTTTCTAACACGCAGGAAGACTGTGCTCAAGTTAGTACATTTTATGGGAGCAAGTGGCGCAACTTACCCAAACTCAAGGAGTGAGGGGCTTTTCCCCAGCATTAGAAACTTTCTTGTAGGCAGATCTTCACCGGAGACCCTGGGTGCATGGCTGTCTGTCAGGATTGCTAAYATGAGCAGACACTGCTTTCGTGTTTGGGAATTCTGCCATTGACTTCAAAGTACTGAGATATAACACCTTGTGTATTCCCTAAAYACACTTAATAACAGCACCCGACACATTTAAAGTGCTTAGACATGTTAAAGGCATTGTACAACATTAGCAAAAAACCAGGAAACCCTGTCTAGGTGGTTCATGAGAAACCTGGTAAGCCAAGAGTCTATCCCTGCATCAGATGCTTATCTATTAGCCAGCTAATAACTGTGTGACTGCTTCTCCAACTGATCCCTACAGCCACAAGCAGGGACTACCTTCTGGTGAGCTGTGGAGACACCAGATTATTCATAATCCTCTTAAATCATAACTAAGAATAGAGATTAGAAGGTGTAAAGCATGCAGTAAGTGTTCTAAACCCAACACAAACACAGCCGGTGTCAGCCTGAGTCAGAGCCTGCACCATGGGAGCTCWCTGAACTCCTGCAGTGCAGCTCTGGGGTGCAGGCACTGCTGCTTTGGCTCCTGGGGCTGGGCTGCTGTGACACCAGCACACACCAAACAGTGCCTGGAGCCAGCCCAAAGCAGACAGGAGCGAGGTCAGCCCAGTGCGGCAGCACCATTTGGGGAACAAGGCTGTGGGGCTAAGAAATCAATGTTCCACTTTGCTCCAGGGCAAGCAATGGAGAGAAGGAACAGCAAGTCTCCTTAGAGAGGGAGATAGTGAAGTGCTTTTGCCTCCAGACAGCTCAAAAATAAGATAAAAATATGGTTCACGGGGTAGCTGTTATAACATGGAGAAGACCACCATCAGAAAATCTTGGCACAGGTCCAGCTGGAGACAACATTGAACCCACTTCATCAACATCTCAACTCAGCCAAAAGTTGTCTACTCACAAAATCACCAAAGTTGGAAGAAACCTTCAATATCATCTAATCCAATCATCAACTCAGCACTCCCATAACAACCTGTTATCCATATCCTGAGTTACTTCACCACTTCCCTGGACATCCCAATGCAGGGCTACTCTTTCAGTGAAATTTTTTTTTCTAGTATCTAATCTGAACTTGCCCTGGCACAACTTAAAGCCATTTCATCTCCCTTCACTTGAGACGTGGTAGGAGACATCTGCCCCTCCTCACCTGTGTCCCCATGGATGCATTCACAGGTGTCAGTGGGTGTAACCTGACAAAGCTCCATGCATGTGACAACCCCCATGGTCAGCAAGCTGAATTGGTGCCTCAGAAACCAGCCTGAAGCAACGAGTGTTTGGACAAAAGGTGGAATTATAAACTATGATCCTGCCCTTAGTACACGTGGGGATGGGTCCTGAGGGAAAAGAGGGTCCTGAGAYTCTTCTTTCCGGAGAGAGCAAAACTGGTACCAACGTGTGAACCAACCTGCATAGCTGCTAAAAAGTGAGGATGATACACAAAACTACTTTATCAGGACATTTGTATTAATGCTCACTGATGTTTTATCTGCACCGGGCAAGTACTACAGCAACACAAAAACGTGCTCCTGAACACACATCTGTCAGCAGCTACGCACGGTAATTACCAGTGAAAATCATCAAGTCTGTTARCTGTTTTAAACACCAGGCTAATGGTACCAGCAGCAGCTTTATGTGTGGAACCTTCTTCCTCCAAGCACTTCTTCCTATTTCCACGCGGTATTCATCAAGTTTTCATAACATTTATCTACGGAGTTCCCCTGTCTACGGCAACAGCCAGAGATGCGCTGTGTGATACTATAATTTTAACTGCTATGGCTTGAGACTGCCAGCGTATCCCCTCCTACCAACAGAAGGAAACAGAACTAGATCCTGGAAATCTGTGCCCTGACACTTGGGGARCCTCATCAATTTGCAGGTACAMGATGTTTGACTCGCTGCTACCCTGYGATATGGGATACCTGTAACCACAGCTGCTGTGAGCCGCAGTGGCTGCCCTGTAGTACTATCCCTGTGTACAATGCTGCAGCCACCTTCACCAGTGTTTGTAAACATTTAGTCTTCCAAGAACTTTCCACTTGAAACGCGACTGCTAATGTATTCACATCTGCAATAATTAGATGCAAATTTATAAAAAGCCACTTTCTGGCTCAACTGAATTACTATTCTATTAATAGTGATGTTCAAGTGATTCTGAAACTCCCCACTGTTTAACTTCCAGGACTGCTCGTTTTACTTTGGAAATTTACTCTCAGTTGTAACTTGACAAAGAAAATATTAATTTGCTCACATTTACGAGGCATGTATATGGTTCAGCCCTCTCAATTCATAGGTCAGACAACAAATTGGTTTCTCTGAAAAATTACCTGATGAAATATTCAACATAAGGCATTCTGTAGCTTAGATGTGCACTACAAACCGCAGTTTTACTGGGGTGTCCCTGTAGGTTGGCTCTGGCACGTACGCCTGCATGTTTTATGCTTTGTCTGAAGGAGGAAGCTCCCACAAGTGAGGAGAAGGCTCTCGGATATGGGTCACAAGTTGGTTTATCAAAACTTAGATGAGAATTTTAAAAAAACCCTACAATACATCAGCATATTTTCCCCAAGCTTTCAGGGAAAAAAAAAAACCAAAACCAAACCCAACATAAACCAGACCGTGAATATTCTTTGCCATTTCAGTTGCTTCTACAAAAGGGAAGAATCAACCAAGATTTATCCAAAGCAAGAATGAAAGCAAGAGGACACACTGTAATACARGTTGCACAGGTTTCCTCCGCACTTCATACCTGACACGGTCATTTTACTCCTGCTTCATTTTTAACAAGTGGCAAATACCATTTACACTTTTGTTTCCCATCCAGAAGAAGATTTAAATAAATCARTTCCTCTCTCATAACCTTGTGGCATTTTTCAGCTCCCACACCAAAACCCATTACAGTCTCGTTATTCTGGTTTCTGAACCAAAACCCTGAAAGCCCTTTCGGTTGTACTCAAAACCGAAGCACCGAGACAATGAGAAAAAAGAAAGAGCCACCACTGAACACTCGTTGCGACCACCCCCGCCCCCCCAGCTCCGTTCGCATCGCCGCTGCCGGGGAAAGACCCTTTCCAGCCCGGGCAATGCTACAAGGGGTGCTGAGAGGGGCRAGGGGAGCCCGGCCCTCCGGGAAACCTCTCAGGTCCGACTTCTCGCCGCCCACGACCCGAGACAAACTCCACCGTGCGGCGGCGAGCGCTCCGCGCCCCGCGGCTCCCGGAGCCGTGCGCGGGCATCCCCCGGCTGGCAGCGGCTCCGGGGCTGCCCCGGCCGGGGCACCGCGCCCTCGGCCCCCCGCGGGACTCACCGGAGATCTCGGCCTGGGGCACGCCGCTGAGGCTGAAGCCCTTGGCTCCATACAGCTGCCGGACCTCGGCGCAGCTCCTCGCCTTGCTGCCGCTGTCACCGCGAGCCGGGGCGGAGGCGACACACAGCAGCCAAAATCCCCACGGGAAGACACGCATCCTTGTCCGCTGGCCCCGCCACCTGCCGTGCGAAGGGCAAAGCCAAGGTCCCGCGGCGCGGAGGCGGCCGGGGGGGCGCGGGGTGCGGCCCCCTCCGCGGGCAGCCCCGGCGGGACGGGCGGGCGAGGGCGGCGRGCGGGAGAGCCCCGGCTGCCCGCGGCGTGCGGGGAAGGCAACGGCGAGTTCAGCCCCGGACGGCTCGGCCGAAGGGGCAGAGATCCAAGTTCGGCCGCGCCGCTTCAAAGCCCCGGAGCGTGAGCGCGCAGAGGGCTTTTGTTCTTAGCGCGGCTGCAT